AGTCTCCTTCTCTGGAGATAGTCAAAACCTGCCTGGACGCAGTCCTGTGCAACTTGCTGTAGGTGAACCTGCTTTGGTAGGGGGGGTTGGACTAGATGATCTCCAGAGGTCCCTTCCAACCCTTATGATTCTGTGATTCTCAGATAAGTAGGACAGAGAAATGGTGTTTTGTGAACCCTTTTTGAAGACAATTGCAAGTGTGATAGAGTATTCTGGTACATAGAATTCTACACACACAGCATTTGATAGACCAGAAACTTGTAAGCACACAGCTTGGTTTTGGCCTACAGATTCTTCATTGTAAGGTTTGACTAGCAGCCAAAACCCACCACACAGCAATTCTGTTGCACAGCAGCTAAGACAATGGGGCACTGTTTCTGCTTCTACATAATGAAATAGAGAATGAACCCTGCTCTGAAAGGACAGCCAATAGGTGAGCTGAACCACTACCACTGGGCAAGAGCCAAGACTTTTCACCTGAAGACACTCAAACAGATTGTTATAAAGGCATCAGAATATACAGAAGTGTATGTTGACTTCACCATCTAACACTTACTCATCCTTTTCTCCACTCAATGTAAACTTCAGTTGCACAACATAATCTTCATGGCAGATATCAGAGACCTTATCACATTACAAAATGTTTCATTATCCTGACAGTTGCTTCTAAACAGCATCTGTTCAGAGAAGTGAGCTGGAAGCAGCCCTCTCTTGAACAGGAAGCTTTTATCTTGAGTTTGCAGAAGTCCCCTGCCTTACAGCTCTCAGCAGGCCTCCTATTTGCCTCAGGTTAAGACTACGGGGTAAGTTAACTCACCAAGAAGGTAACAGGCCCAGAGTTGAAAGCTCTTTAGAGGTTGTGTTGGAGGGAGAAGAGGGTAAAAAAGATAGGAAAAGCACACACTAATTCAATTTTGTTAAGTTTCTTGCACAAACTGTGCTCTGATCTCAGTTTCTACACTAGCAGCCAGAATTCTTACACACTGAAAAGTGAGAAAAATGGAATTCACCAGCCATGACACAAGAGAAGCAAGAAATCATCCATGTGGCTAGGTATCATGGGCCAGGATAACACAGCTTCTGGAAGCTCATATCCATTCTATTGCTCAGTTCTCTAGTCCTATCAATCAGAGGGATAATGTCCTTCATGTTTAGGTTCAGAGATGATATACACTGACTACAAAATACTAAAAAGACACCAAGAACTCGCAAGAGTCTCTGCTACCATTATCCTCCATAATGCTGTCCACAGGCTCAGAACCGCTATACAACACAAGATCAATTCAGTGCCCTAATTTAGTGCTTAGTGTTGTAAACTTCTGAATATTTCCTGCTGCATTTGCAATAGGCTGTGCAGGGGGGTTCCCATACACAGGCAGTATCAGGAAGTGGTACTTACCTCTTCATCATCATCAAACAAGGAGAGCGGAGCTTTTGTCATGGACTTGCTGGTGGGGAGAGATGTAGATTTGGACTTCACAGTTTTACTTGAAGAAAACAAGTCCTGTGCAAAATAAATGAACATCACTTTGCAAAGCAATGCTATACGTTTAAGAACTCTAAATGGGACATTAATGTTTTTCCTTTTTAAAAAAGTGTTTAGTGTTGGAAAGATTGTCTTACTCAAATGTACCAATCACCTGCAACTCCATGGGGATTTCCCTCAGCTTTGCAGATGAATTGCTAGCTAGAAGCCGAGGACATGAGATTAAACATATACAGTCTTTCATGATTCTTGCTCTTGATTTGCTGATCTTTCCCCTCTTCAGGCTTTCAATTTATGCCTGTGCATACCACACAAGTTTAAGCCTCTGAAGACAGGGATAATGTTCTCAGAGATTTTACTCTTGGAGCAAGAAAGAACTTTCAGAATGGCTGGGAGGAGATGCACGGATGTCAAGAGTTGCCAATCCTACAGATAAATAAGGAGTCCCCAGATACAAGTGGGCTGAAGTCAGGGTGACTCAGATCCCAAGGACTTCTGTAGGGATTTATTAAAGAGATACTCACTTCAGAATCCTCCTCATCAGAGAAGAGGCCCCTCTGTTTTCTTGGAGGTGTTTCAGATAAAGGCTTGAAGTCCTCACCTAAAGGTGGTTGACTCTTTAGGACACATAAAGACACTGCATCAGCACCCATTTAGATTTAGTAAGGGCAGGCACATCATATGACCCTTTTTAAGAGGCATGATGCTGGCGGCATCCCAGCAGTTGAAGGGACAGAACACAAGCTTGTCACCCATGGGCTGAAGTCCAAAACTCATGTACTGAGTGAGTTCCTCACATGCAGTCAGAGCTATACACGAGTGATTTGCAAGTCTTATCACAGGCCTCCCCTACCATCACCATTCTTTTCAGCAGAAAAATGTATGCAGGAACTCACGCCAGGTCCCCTTGTGAGTTAAACAAAATGGTTTCTTTTAATAAGCTGTGTTTCATAAAGGAAGAGGGCAGTCTGTGCCAGCCATCATTTCCTGCATTAGTACAGCACAGCCCCAGCCTGCCATCAGCTATATGGCCATTAAACTCAGAATTATTCCAGACCCAAGCACTACTGTCAGCAAACCTGGAGCATAAAACAGCCCTCACTTCCTGACAGAGCAGAAGTGAGGCTGCTGAATCAGTTTTCATCCTCTCCTCCAGGAAACTCAAGTGCTATGAGATCAGAGCAACAGCATTGGATGACCTCCCACCACCACTCCCACTCCATTGACCTGGATACTCTTGCACTGCACCAGAAACAGAAGCTGCCTTTGGCCCTTGTGCTCAGGTGCTTCTCATAAGGCAATACAGAGAAAGTCCTGCAGCAATTTGCATTAGACATCCCCAGCATTGTACACTTCTCAGTCCAGAGGGGAGAAGAGTTACTGTAGCTTATTATGTTCAAATACTCCTTGGACAGCAAATATGTATAAAATGAATATATACAACCTCTGCCATAGAAACAAAGAGCATTACTACTTTTCTCAAGAGACTGCTCTGAAGATGAAAGTGGTGTGGGCATTAGGAAGCTCTCATAACTCTGTATATGTGTCCTTAGGACAGCATTTAGAGCTTTCTATAACTTGAGAGTTTTCAGCTGAAAACCAGCTTTTTACACACTCCAAGTATTGTATATGCTTAGGTAAAACTGCGACATCCACCTTCCTCTCCCACAGCATATACAAGCAATGGGTTACCAGTTAAGTTGCTATCAGCAGTTGGTATAAGTGTAGACACAGTGTCTGCAGCACAGAACTGTGACACCGAAGGTTAAGTCAGGCTGGTTTCATCTCAGCCATGAACTTCATAAACCGTTTTTTATTATCAGAGGCTTCTCATTTTGCTGTCACTTCAATCCTGCCTTAATAAGATTCTTCAAATCACTGCCCACACAAAAGAAACACCAAATAAACCCAAAGTTTGAAAGGCAAAAGGCATTTAAGGACCCCTGAAGCACTCAGGTCATGGGACACCCTACAAACCTAGTTCTGTTTCAAAAATATGGCACTTCCATAGTGTTGTACATGGGGAGACTACTTCAGCTGCAGCAGTAACTTTTTCCTAAAACCTTAGCCACGTGATCCATTTATATGCGATTACCTTTTTTTCCATAACTGCCTCCCTATGGCTTTCTGTTTCTTTAGTTGTGCCAGAAACCACAGGAGGAATGGCAGGTTTTTCGTGGAATAAGTCACTTTCTTCATCATCATCAAATAGGTCAGTTGTGGACTTGACTGCATTAAGCGACAAAACAAACAGGGATTGATGAGAACAGAACAGACACTACCGAAAAAGAGAAGATACCAGAGTCTGAAAAGATACCATGCTCTCTTTTTAAAGATGACCAACATCAGGAGTCTTTAAGAGAAAAAGCTAGACAAGCTCTCAAAGTGAAACACCACTTACCTGAGAGCACTGGCGACAGTGAGTGCAGTCAACAAGCACTGGGGTAGAGAGTCAGTTGGCACCTCTAAAGGCAGTGTTTTGTATTGGCTTGGCACCTCTAAAGGCCTAGAGCCTGCCAATAGGGAGTGTTGGGCGCAGGGACCCAAGGCTGTGTGAATAAAGTCTGTACCATTTCCCTGATTCAAGTCTAGATACTGCCCTAACAGTAGAAGGAGCATCCTAAGACAGCATGTACAAATAAACCAGTCCCACACCACTCTGAGGAAAAGAAATGCCAATAACAAACAAAAAACCCCACCAAACCCAAAAAACTCAAGCAGAAGTAGCAGTGATACAGGTTTGAATTTTGTAACTCATTGGTTCCTATCAGTTTCAATTTTGATGATCTTTAATGTTTAATCTTCCACTGCACATTTATAGAGGTACCTGGATCTGGAGGCTTTTTAGTTGCTCCCACAAAGAAGTCATCATCATCATCAAACAGAACAACTTTCCCAGGGTGTTTCGGAGTTTTATCTGTGCTCTGTGCTGCAGACTTCTTGTCTTTTTCCACAATTACAGTGGAACTAAACACATCACTTCCTCCTGCAGGTCAGATGTGGGGAGAAGTAAAAAAATAAAAAAACAAACCAACAAACAAAACACAAAACCACATAGAGATCACCGTCAGAGTTACCAAAAAGCTGAACTTGTGCCATAGTAAGTGGACTCAGGCAGAGCTTCCATCACAGCAATTTTTAATTCGCTCCTGCAACAACGCTACATCAAAAGCATTAGCTAGAAACTTCCTGATAAAGCCAAGTTACAGAGAGATGGCCCCTCACTCTCACTGCAATCACTTCTTCCTTAAACATGCTCATCTACCCTAGGACAGCAGCCAGGTTCCTTGTTAAAGCTAGACGACCCACCAGTCTCACACTGTTGCCCCTATGGACTTTCCAAACCAGAATCCTACTTTACTAACTAGCAAGTCAGACCACCATGGATAAATAAAAGTAGTAAGGTGTCTTAGGAGAGGGAAGGACAGGTGACTGAGTTCTCCCAAGGAGCTGCACTTGTCATACAAGACCACTAGCAGTATGAGGCTGAGTTTGGTCCCAAGATTCCTGCATACTTCAGATATGGCATTGATCAGCTGGTAACCTGTTAACAACTGTTTCTTCTGCATCTGGTGTGGAAACGCCCAGCTTCAGTGATACGTGCATGTCAACAGATTGTCTGAAAACACTTTTAGCATTTTTGGTAAAAACTGGCAGCCTGGCTCTAAGCCTGTCTTTTTGCTTCTTATGTAGACATGCTTGGAAACAGGGCAGAGAGGGGAAGAGACTTTAATTGAAAATTTGGCAAAAAGTAGAACAACTTTGGTTAAAAGTCAGTGGACTGCATGAATTTTGACCAACACAGCAGCAATTTATTACAAAAAAAGTGTATCAGGCAATTAGAAAGTGACACAGGATTGACAGGAATACAGCCACAAAGTTTGATTAATTATTAAACATTCTTAAGTTCCTAAACAAACTGTTCACTGGGAATGTGTTCATCAAGCAATTTTCAATAGCAAAGGAACCTCAATTTTGTTTTTTCTCCAGTGACTTTAGCCTGTCTACCAAGGAACAGTGACTGAATAATTGAAGACTTCCAGTAAATGCTACATATAACTTAATTCCTGATGAACTAGAACAGGACACTTAGAATGATGGGAAATTCACTGCTTATGCAACAGTACCTCCAAGAAAAAGCAAAGGATAAAGAAAACCTCAATCTGCTGTTTTAAACTTTGCTACCAAGTCTTATAATTATGTAGAATGACCATTGCTGATGTATATCTTTGATTCTGGAGTAAAAAGGCTGTATTTGTATATGTCCTACTCTAAAAATCATACGGACTGAGAGCGCAGTTAACTGAAACCATAGTCTTAAAATAGGCCTTTCTTAATAAAGGGCCAAACTTAATTTTAAGGTAACTCAATCAGGTAAAGACCCTACACAGAGACAGAAATCTAAGTCAGTTGATTCAAAGAGACTGATGATATATGTTTCTTTTCATTGCTCAGCTTGAAGTCTCATATGGAACAGGGACCTTAGTACAATTCTTTTTTTTTTTTTTTGCTCCGATTTACAGATTTAGTCATTCCCCATGTATGCAGATCCTCCTAATCAAAACTCGAGAAACAAGACTGATCTTACTTACTCATGCCACAAAAATATAGGAACTTGATGTTTAAACTGTTCTTCTGCTAGCCCAAAGGAATATGATCAAATCTGAAAGATCAAAATGCGCTTCCTTCTCAGCATACAGAGGGAAGGTTTGACTGCATGCACTGCAGACTTAAGCTGCACAATATCTGTTAAAGTTAACACACATCCTTAAAAGTTCATAGCGCAACACTGGAAGCTGACAGCTGCTAATATCTGCCATCAATGATACCTACCTCCAGAGCTCCTATGGAATCTTGATCATCCATAAAGCATGCTGCAGTTTGGGCTTAGCATGGCAGAAGCACCTGTATTTGTCATGAAGCAGATCAAGCAATGCAGTGCTGCTGTATTTGGAGAATTTTCTTCTTTAAAACCTCCCCGGTAGGTTTTAAAGAAAAGAGCATTTTGTGCATGAAGCAATTTGCCATTGAATGAATCATACCTGGGAACAGAGATACTGCACCTGCAGGAACTTTCTTTAAGGACTTTGTAGAGGATGCTGAAATCATAGGAATTACAATACAAATGGATGCACTTGTTTTATGCTGTCAAAGCCTTCAGAACTCTATCATAGAAATAGGAATCTGAGGAGTCTTCTAACCTTCCTTTTTTTTTCCCTCAACAGCTCAGAAGTCTTTAGACATTCTCCTTGAATTATTTTTTTTTTGCAGATACATATGACAGCCTAGTATTTTTCCTCCATTAAAATTCCACAAAACAGCTTTACTAAACTGAAGCTTACAAATATGAAAGCTTACATTTACACATACCATTATTTACAAGAGTTCATACTGACACACTCAAAACCACTTCAATACAATACATTTAAAACAAAATGGCTTAGTCTCCCAACACATACCGAAAATTCATCAAATACAGTACTTCAGTAAAAGCTGCTGCAGTACAGAATGTGTGCTCAGACTCTTTAAGGGTCTACATAAGCAGCTAATGGAAAACTCAGATGTGCTTTAAACTGCAAGAAGAAATCTTTACTCCATTCAAATCCACAACTGGATCCTGCAAAGTACTGTTCAGCAGCAGGAACCCAGTGCATGCAGAGAGCTCTGCCAACATCAGTAAGGACATCCTTTCTGCTCCAGGAGAGTAGAGGGGTGTGTATAAGAGATTATAGTGAACAAACACATTTAAAATTCAAGGAAAACACAGCTGTTCTCTATTGGAGGAGAAGACACTTGCCAACAATTGCTACTCCAGACTTTCTAGTTTGGAAACAAAACAGTCTAGCTACTAGCAGTGATAAATCACAGCACAGACAGGACTACAGGAGGCAACAATTGGTTCTTACCTTCACTTACTGGGACTCGTTCCTCTCTCTCTTTTGATTCTTCTCCTCTTGGTGCTTCAGCAAAAAGATCACTCTGCAGATTAAAATGCAAGGGCGGTAAATGGTGAATTTGTTTTTTGTACGAAAAGACAGCTGCTGATTTTTCTATGTAGAATATCCACTTCTAAGCCAAGACAGAAGAAGTAACCACCACTCCCTTCTCAAAAGGTTGTCTGCACATACAGACTTAAACCTAGGTACTCAAGTGTTAACTTGAATGCATACATTCAGAGGAGTAGCTTCCTGTCTTCTAAAATTTAATTTACACTGATTATCAGTCTGTTTACTGCAGAGAAGGAATGATCTTTGTACGGGCTTACACTAATTAATCTACAGCTGATTACACTTTTCTAAGCTTTCCTACTCAAGATTATACAGTAAGATTTGAAGGAAGAATTCAGGTCAGGACAAGCATAAAAATACTCCCAAATTTCACATGGTTAAGGGTAATTATTTATATTGTTGCTAAGGAGACGCTAAGACACCTGTATGGTGCTGAGATACACATTATAGCTCAAATGCATTGCAGGACACTCCCACAGAAGTCCTTGTGTACAAGTTGCAGTTGCCCTGTGCCAATCCTCCCTGAGAGTCACACCCTAGATTTCCAGGAAACCTCCAGATCTTGTGAGTACTGACCACTTAATTCCTTGAAAGCCTCCCTGTTACAGAAAGTCGGGTATTAGAGGTTATCTATCCGGAGATTCAAAATGCATGGTCTTTGTATAAAGCTTTGTGGAAAGAAGGCAGCAATACTTAGGAAAGAGTAGGGAAGCGCGGGGCTGTGGCAGGAATGTCAGTGATTAATTGCACATTTGTCAGTTACTATTTGCCTGTTGACCTACTATGACTGCCTTCTGGTACAGTAAGACCTCCTCCATTGCACAAGGTAAGTGAAAGTAAGTTGCCCTTCCTAGATGATTAACTTTCAAATAACAGAAAACCAAGAACAACTGTATGCAGGCAGGCAACAATCACACACAAATCTGCTTGGCTGTCCTGTGTTTACAGGATGAAGAAAGTAGTCTTGGCAATAAGTAACCAAGAGGCTCTAATGATAGCTTCATCTGAATTTGCACCGACACATAGCTGGCTTGCACTATCAGATTAGCTGTTGGCTGCCACTTAAAAAGAAAGCACACTAGCATTTTTTCAATAAAGGCTGCATTCGAGTGGAAAGCATTGCATAGAACTATCATCTTCCCTTCACAAAATGCCCCTGCTTGGTGCTTGTTGGCTATATTTTGGTAGATAGGCATGGTGAGATTGAGGCCAGCTGTATATGAGGCCTCCTTCCAAATTTCAGTCTAATAGCCTCCTTGATTCCAAGGAACACCTGACTTTTGTTCTAGTTGCAACAAGGAACACAACATCCCACAAAGACAACAGTTTGGTTAGTATTCTGGACTAACCTTGACTGTTACCAATATCAGCTGCATGGTAAAATCAGAGACAATCATTTGTTTTACACAGCTGTACTATCAGATTCTTAAATGTTAAATATCCCTGACACAGGATTTCTATCCCCTTTCACATGCACAAACAATGCTAAAATAAGGTCAGAAATGCTCTTTTTGCCATTCCTTCATCAAGTCAGCTCTAGATACATAGCACAAGAGTAAGCTTAAGGTCAATTTTTCCTGCCAACACAGGCAACCCAGAAATTGTGTAACAACTAGATGAAAGAACATAGCATAATTGCAATAGGGAACTTTTAACAGCACAGAGACAGAGAAACGCAAGAGCATCACTGTCCGGATATGGTATGTGAAATAAAGTGGGAAGGGCACTATGTTCTCTTTCCCCTCAGACTTCTCCAACATTCAGGGAGAAAGAGAGAATGACAGAATTCAGTATCCTCACAGGCATTTTAATAGAAATCTGCTGTTTTAAAATAAACAAACTGTATGGCATTTGGTTTACCCCCACAGATAAGAGGGAGGTGCTGAGTAAGCTCTGCTGGAATTAGAACCTGTCTAACGTAATGCTAGAACCACACTTGCATCTCTCCTCAGCACCACTGCAGAAGAGAGGGCTTTGTGCCAAGGGAAACATAAGTACCTCATTCATGTAGCTCTGTTTCTCCCCTGGAAAGCTATACTGTTCCACTACACTTGAATATTACTGAGCAACAAAATGCTGTTTCCCCTCCCTGCCTTCCAGAGGTGAGAAATTGTGGAGACCTTTTGTTTTGTTTTTAAAAGGGGGACACACTCAATTTCTATCCTCTCCAGCATTCTCACCTCTTCATCATCAAAGAGACCTGTTCCACCACTGAAGAGGCCACCCCTAGAACCAAATGGTGTGAAGTCTTCATCAGTCAGCTTAGGAGGCTTGAAGATGTCATCATCTTCATCTAGAAAGCACAAGAGCCAAGAGCTGTGGTGGGAGTGACCAAGTTTCAGGAAAGGGAATTAAAGAGACAACTACAATAAAAACTGGTTTGATTACATCTCTTCTGTCTTATAAACATGACATATACAGAGAAGCTGCTGTAGACAGATTGGGTTGTATGTGGTTGCTCCAGAAGACATTTAAGGAGGAACTCTCACTAAGCCTGTTTCTAGCCTTGCTTTACATGCACATCACAACCTAGATTTGTCTACACACTCACCTTGAAGGATGCTTACTGATATCCCACCCAGTTTCTAGAGTAGATGCCACAATTCCCTAAGAGGTGTCTTAAAATTAGCCCACAATTCAAAAACAAGAGAGATGATATCCTACCATCCGATGGAACTCTAATTTCCTTCTTCTCTTTCAGGGTTTTCTTTGTTTTGGTCTCTGATGACAGGGCTTTAAGAAGAAAATTTCGAAGTGAAAATAAAATAGTGCACCTTTACTTGTGATCAATCTATGGTAAAAAGAATCTAAAAAAATAACCTAACCAAGCTGACCTATATGTTTTCATATGAATCAGCCTACTGAAGCAATTCTATGAAGTATTTCTAAAATTAGCACTTAAAATTCTAACAGCATCATTCTGTCAGGGACTATGGGTTCAACACAGTTGCCCACACACAGACTAGTGTCTCCTGAGGTGCCAAAGAGCAACACAGCATTCCAGATGGTACAGATAACACACAGAACTTTTGAGCATCTCAAACGGCTGCACACATATTATACCTTATCTGGCCCTACCATCACAAGGTTATTGCAATGAACAGAAGATTTCCTTGTAACTGAACAAGGTTTTATACCGGTAGGTTTTATACTCTGATATCCACAGACCTAGTTTGATTGTTTGAACCGTGCAAGAACACATACACACGCTGTTTTTGACTGTTCATGCTCTCAAAATTACAGGTCAAAAGCAGGCTCACAAACACTTGCCAACTCAACTTCAGTCAGCTATCTTCAGCTGCTGCTTTGCTGCAAGACTAACTACTTGAGAGGTCTCTCCCTTTGAAAGTGACATAAAAGTAAATGCAGTAGTCCAAAATATCACGGAAAACAGTAGCAAGGAAAAGTTCCTCAAAATGCAGTGTATTTAAGCCACAAAGAGGAAGAAACAAACAACCCACAGCACATGAAAGCACCAATATACTGCTTGAGGGGTTTTCCACTGTAGAGCTCACGGAAAGACTACAGTGACCAGTGGCTTCCACATATTTACTTGAAACTGGGGGAAGTACATGTGGTCAAACATGCAGTTTTGCACACAGAGGGAGAATCAGATCAAAGAGAAAACCTTTCCAATACTATGTGTGCTTGGGGAGTGACCTATCTTACCTGAAAGCAATGTGTTTTCCACTATAACACTCAGTGATTTCCAATTCAATCCTATAAGTCATGGCCAAAAAGTTTCTCAGAATACAAAACAGTGTCTTTAATTCCTCTTGTTGGATTTTCACCTAATACATAATCAAATAACAGATCTGTGTAACTTCTCATATTGTTACACAGAATCTCCTGTCCAACTCTTTCATGAGTCCCCCACTATCTCATAAGCACTTATCAAAACTAAAGCGTTAACTTACAAGAATGCTCTTCGTCCTGTTTGACTGGTACTTCTCCTTTGATTCGGGCTGCCAGCTCATCTGCAAATGATGTTGGCCTCTTCTTTTTCTAAGGAAGAAGGACAAATAACAGCATATTCCTTATATACAATTTGGCTACCAACTTCATGCAATTGCAATTCTAAATATTGTATTCTGCAGCCTCGCTTGTACAATATCCTGTCTAGACTTTGACTGAAGCCCTCAGAAGAGGCAATACAGCTTTTAATTAAGAAAGCAATTAAGAGATTACGTGTGCATCAAGAGGAAAAAAGGCCATTTCAAGTCCCTTATGATCACATAATTTTTAATGTCATCCCGTTTTGGGAGCAAGAGAAGCAAGCAGCATTTACCATACACAAATGCAACAAGTAATTTCTCAATGACTTTTAAAGACAGCTTTGATGTGAGCTTAGAGTGCAGCAGTCCCCTAGTTTAAAGGGGTAAAGCCTGAACAATCGTGTTGAAAGACCATTCAGGATTTTTACAGGCCCTCCCCTACAGGATCCTATCCCAGGTAACTGAGAACCACCATTATAATTCCTCTAAGGACAGATTTTTCATGAAGGAAGTCAAATCTCTGCCTCCAGGGATGCAACAATTACTTACAGGCCTTGTGCTTTCATCTAACTCTCCGTCCTCATCTTCCTCTTTTTCGGAGTCGAAGAGATCACAGCCATCATAATCATCTTCATCACTTATCTGTGCTGTCCTCTAAAAAATAAAAAAAACCAGGGTTCTTCTGAAGTTAGCATACAAACAAGCACAAAACTATACTGCTTACATAAAATATTCAAAGCAAACTTACTGAAAGGATGGAAACATTCAGCCTGTTTGGGGCACTTCAGAGCTTTTGAGAGGTATGGAAGGAGTACCTTTCGCACCAAGCAAGTTGCTGCATTCTCTAGTACACCCCTGAGCTGTGTCACTGAACATTTCTGGACCAGAGACACAACTGAGGATAAGAAAGCTCTCCTCACAAGGAGCATACCACTACTATACACAAGCCTGAACTGCTTTGGCTGCGCTGCTTCCCTTAGTTTACAAACTCCTCTCCCATGAAGACCTAGTGTTTAGCCTTAACTCAGGAACATTATGATCAGCTAGTAAAAAATCATATTATCTTGAGCTATTCCTAAGGTGGATAGCAGAATGACAACCAACACACGCCCACATCTTGGCTTCAGTCATGTCAATAAGAAAAAGAGGATGAAAAAGATGAAGTGAATTGTGAGGTGGGGGCCAGCATGTACAAGGGCCCAGGAGTGAACAAACAACCCAAAGATACTCACTCATCTTAAAATGTATCAGGTATACAAAGCTACATTATGATGGTCAATACAGCTTAATGTAACACGTGAGTACTTTTGCAACATTGTTTTATTAATACACAGATTAAAAAGGGTCACTTTTTTAAACCTTCTTTCGGGACTAAATAATTTCAGATTGAGTATCCCCACATAAAAATCTTTTGCACATCCTACTACCACCTACTATCAATGACTAAAGTCAGGCTTGAATTTTTCAATCTAAACATTTTTTTTCCCTTTTCATCCATTATCCAAATGGATATACTTTTCAAACATTTAATACTGTTCACATCTTTGATTTCACGTCATACCCAAACTGCACTGTTCCTTACATGCTGCACAGCAAGTTTAGAATTTCAATTATAGACCCAATAATCGCACACAAGCCTAGCTCTCCTGAGGTAGATTCTTTGAACTCTCATGGCTCCAAAGTAATTCCTGAGGAAAACACAAATCAGGCAATGCCATCTCACATACACTTCGCATCTAACAATGGCTTGCAAACATGTATTTAAGACCAACCCATGTTCAATTTCACAACACAGTGCCATATGGGCAGAACAACCTTTCCATACAAAGTTATACAAATTAGGCTTAATCAAAGTTTTTAATAATTAATTGTCTAGAGCTCTGATCTCCTCTTTCTTGCAACCTCACTGTGTCACAAGTGGAAAGTCTTTCAAGTATGTATCAGTGCATATAACCGTACCGTCTTTTGGTCGTCTTCACTAGGGTTTCCAAATTCGTCATCTGATTCCTGGAACATAGGAGACCCAAAGACAAGTATCACACATTATTTTGTCCAGCAGTTAAGGGAGAGGGCTCAGAAACTCTGGACTTGCTTAGGTTTGGACATTCAGATGTCCTCACCGTGACCTGACCAAGGAATTATTTCCCTATGGCTGACCATCTTTATAAACAGAGTTCACTAGAAAGTCATTAATTTAGCAAAGACAGCAAGCTCCATCTGAGAGTGCATTTGAGTAACTCAAAAAGGATTTAACTTTACTTAATTAAAGACACCAAAAGCAAATTCCTCAGGAAAAGGGGAGTGCTTCCAAGCACAGTAACAAAGCAGAGACATCCTAGCCAAGGCAGATAAAACATATCAGAAACTGATAGTCCAATGCAGCAGACATATGAGGCAAAGCCTGGAGGTGCATTAGTGACACCTATTTAACTGTTAAACTTGCTCCTGTTAGCCTCCATCCTATTCTTTGTAACTGTAACTTGCAACATATTTGCTCTCCATAAATGCAATTTATGAATCTGATTTGCTTCACAAAGTGAAATTAGGCTGGAATAAAACACTTCAGTTTGAAGTATTCCACTATAATAGCAGTTAGAGCCAATACTACTTTATCGCTCCTCTGAAAAGCCGCAGAAGAAACTACTGCATAAGAATAACGAAAAGCACATTTACCACAACCAACATAGGGAACAGACATTGTGCAATATTATCTTGAGATCCCACATGAAAAAGCAAGGTATCTAATGGCCTCACACACAACCAAGGACTCATGAATGCTTGTGCAAAGTAGCTGGTACTCTGTCATTTGTCACTTACATTTTCATCCTTCTCTTCACTGTCAATTACACTTCCACGATCACTATCTACTGATCCTTCTATTTTAAATGAAAACAGAAAAGTTAAGATCAGACTTGACATCTGTACACAAAGAAATATGGTCACCAGATATATCGACAGCAATGTTAAAGGCTTTGTGAAGAGAACTAAAAGTCAGGTGGAAGAGAGAGTGGTTTGGAAGAGCTTTGAAGGCTGCTGAAATTTTAGCACTTCGTGTTTCTAATACACCAAGCACAAGTTACTGAGAAATCACTGGTTTGCATACCAGAAAAGTGGTTGTAACAGCACGATGCATATTTTTTTCCTCAGTTAATAACAGTATGCATCTAAACACGCAAAAATAGTATGCAGTATAACCCAAACTGTGAGTTAAAACAGACCAAAGTCTCAGATTAGGAACTAATTAGTTGCACAGGAATAAGAGGTCATGCCAGCACATACCTTCACTAGAGAGATCTCCAAGACCAACATCATCTTGTTCCATGAACTGTTGAGAGCCAATCAAGTAAGGTAAAGGTCTGTCAATATAGAGATCCTGGAAAGAGACAACAACAGGTCTTTCTGACATCTAGGAACAGCTCTACCTTGCTGACAAAGTCAGAAGTCTTACATCCCTTGTTTTAATTCAAGGAAGATACAAGCTTGTTCAAAGAGAATCCCACCAGACACATGCTTCAAGTCAGCATGCAACCGAGTGGGCCAGCTGAGGTTTATTCCTTTTTAACACTGTCAAAGAAGGGGATTACTTCTATTTGTGTGGTCCTAACTTGTTTTCTAGGTGTCATGTAACAGAAGAATATCCTTGCAAAGACTTGCAGGCATCAGTCTTATCCCAAATCCTGCACCTAGGATTCTTAATTACTGGGATAGTAAAAACCACCTATGAAGGTATGGTTTGTACCTAAAAAACATGAAATTTAAAGGTCTCACTCCACCCAGAATTGATGCTTCCCTTTCCAAATTCACTGACATTAAACTAACTCCCTTTAGGGTGCCATACCTTAATGCTAACCCAACTGCAAGACAAGGAGGCTACACAAGGAATAGCTCAGGAAGGAGCACTTCTCCTTCAGATGTAGTCAGCAAATCCTCTTTTTAGGTAACAAATATCAATTTTATACAAATGCAATGATACTGCTGACAGAGGCAAAAAGTAAGTCCAACAAAGCCAAATACAAACCCATGCTCCCAGCAAAAACAGGTCTCTACCTTTGGCTCAAGTATCAGTTCCACCCTTTCGTTACTTTCTTCCTCTTCCGAGTCAGAGTTGCCTGCTTTGATGTCTAGCTGTTCAAATGCACTGTCCAGAACTTGCAACCCATAATTCACCGCTTCTTGGATTTTAGGAATCAGATCAGCTTCTTTCTGTTCCCGTGTCTTTTCCTTTAGTAACAGAAACAATACATCCTCATTGCATTTTACTCAAGAGTCAATCTCACTGCAATACACACACAGATTTAACTTCAAATTAGTACAATGAAAGCTTTTTCACTATATGTAAAAGACTGACCTTCAGAACCTTTTTTGCTTGACTTAGTTCATCTTTATCACTCCCAGAAACTGAGATGTTCTAAACATCCACACCAATACAGTAATATCTTATTTGTGCTCCTAGCCCACTAAAGGAATATTTATGGTATAACACACCTAGACTGTAAGACAGACAAAAAGCTCTCTGAGTTTTTATCCCTGGGAATTGCAGTCAGATTCTGCTTCCCCAATTCACTACCTCTGAACCCAGTAAGAAGGTCCAAGGTCTCAGTTCTCTTGCTGAAAAAACATGCATAGCCTTTTGAAAATTGATGCATAAGTCTTGTCTACTGGACACAGTATTGAGATTTGGGAGGCCCTAACAGATTATCAGACACTGCAGTACCCTCCAATATTACTGTTAACTTTTGTGTTTGAATGACACACACTATCCAACAGAGAGACTTCAAGGGGAAAGGAAACAAATTGATTTGTAAGCTGTAAATGTCTGCAAAATAAGTTTGAAAATGAGAAGGCAGACAACAGTTGCAAACGTACTGCCAGCATTCAAGGCAGTTTAAGTTAACTACCTGCTCTGTTTTGTCTCCAATATCAGCTTTAGGAATAGGCTCTTCCACTTCTTCATCATATACTCTCTAAAAAGTCAAGCAAAATTAATTCAAGTAAGAACAACATATTGCTGCAGGGGCTAAACCACAGGCACCACCAACAAAATAAAATATACTGTTACCATGTAATTAATTACACATTAATTCATCACACATTAAAAAAAAGCAGCCATGGATGATACCAAGCATCTTCATAGCCTCCTTCATGCATTGAAGTCATCATCCTGAAGTTACCGTCAGGCAGCCTCTCAACCCAACTGAGGTAGTTCAAGACTGCAAATGTCACTGCACTGGCAGAAGACGAGTTGATCATTTAATCGTGTTCACAGATCGACCTGAATATGTTAAAAGCAGAACTGTTTTAACCCCCCTAACATAAAGCTATTCTAGAAACCTATTCAAAGTCAAACCTAAGTTTACTTATAGGCTGTCTATTTTCCTTTTGATTTCTATCATTTAGCAGCTTGCTTTCTTTAGCATTTACCCTTCTCCTGCACTTACAGAGAAGGTTCACATCCTCCCTCAGCCTTCAGTTTGTTCTGATGATCCCTTCCATTCAGCTCTTTTAGCACTCTTTTGTAGGATCAGCTACAAGGAGACATAGGGGAATAAAAAGTCTCCCTTGAACCTGCAAACCTAAATCCAAATCTCAAACACAGGTGCAGTTATCCCCTGAGACGAGACAGATCTCTCACATTAACTAGAGAACTAGAAATGAGGACCTATTTCTGTGCACTTAAATTTGGGAGCAAACAGCTTCAAGCACTCACAATTTAAGATGTTTGGTACAAACTGTTCTCAGCAGAATCATTATGCTGAACAGCAAAGGTAGACCAAAAAAAGACATTGCAGCTCTGAAAAAAACCCACCGTCACCACCAAAAAGCCCCACAACAGAAATCCAGATTTCCATCATCTTGTCTTCTGCCAGTATCTTTCCAATAATAACATCATGGCTTCAGATGAGCTTGAGAACAATGCTGATCAAAACAAAACACCCAATAAAACTCACAGTGCTGAAAAACCCTCCACAAATCTGGATGACTATTAAAGCTCTATATCTTAATTATACACATGCTTCTAGTGATACAATGTTGTAACAAGCTTTCAAGTCTAGCTTTTACCATCCTAAAATAGAAATATTCATAAACCAACAAATATGCTCATCATGACCAGATGTAACAGACAACTGCCTGCAGTCCAACACCTTTAATACCAACTGCTTTTAACATAAAATACCACCACTGGGCAAATTTACAGCATTGTATAACATTCCTCATATTTAGGCAGCCAAGTGCAGCCAAATGCTACTTTCATGCTACCTGTAAAGATACACCCAGATATCCCAGAGATCTCAACTCTTATTCATAGTCCTAAAACCAGAACTCTGATGTCCATGTCACATATAAGCAAAGAAGGAAGGTATCTCAGAAGAGGAAAAAGGGAACCTGCCAATATTGGATAACACATCACTCACGAAGGAATTAGGACACCCATTAACAGAAAGTGATTAAAAGCAACTTAACCTCTAAATTAACATCAGACTTGCCAAAAAAGTCAAATTACTTCTCCACATTACAGTAAAGGACGACACTAATGTTTGAAGTACAAAGCTTGATACCGTACAACAATATACTCACATTCTCTATGAACTGTGTATTAGACAACATAAGAAAGTCATTGAAGACATTATGAAGGCGACAGTCTGTGGCTTTTGTTTCACTAATCAATCCATCTACTTGCTTTTTGATTTCATGAGTCCTGGAAATGGTTTGCTGTGAGAACTCTTGTAGAAAACGCAGAAGCTGTTTACAACAGAGGAAAGCAATAGTCAGCATCCAACTCCTTTTTCTTTTGGTATCATTTATGACACAGGCGGAGTTGATCATACACTCCAACTGAACATCAAAATAAACACAGTTTAGAATAAAGCACCCCCACGCGTGCCCAGGACCAAGTCTCCTCCTGCTCTGTTTCCACTTCATTCTGCGTTTCCTTCCGGGTCAACTCCTTATTTTAGTTTTCTCGCCCAGACCGGAGGATTAAAGCAACGGGAGAGCTGCCGACTGGCGGGCCCTGACAGGGGCTGTCCCCCCCGCGTTCATCCCGGCAGGCTCCCGGAGGGCTGCAACCACTGCGCCCTGCCCGAGGCGGGCTGGCCGACC